CTCCAAGGACAGCGATTAATTCGGGCCGGCTGGGCCCGATCCCGCCCTCTGCCCTGGGCGTTGAAATACAGGTTGTGTGAGCACAAGAGAGGGTGCAAGCCAGGCCCATTAGGCACAAGTCCTTTTCATTAACCCGCACTGACAGGTTGACCTCCAAATCATATTTCTCCGTGCCTCTTTTCAAAAATCCCTTTTCTTGCCTGTTTATGTTCTTTCACGAACTCCTAAGCAATGGCCCAGATACAGGATGCGTCTCATCCCTGGGACACGGAATGCTCCAGCATCCCCAAATCCATCCGAGAATGATACCCCTTTCTGATACGTTTGGTCCCGGGTCAATGACATCATGCACTCTATAAATTCAATCCCATCTTGGCTTTTCAAGCCGTGCACCGGCCGGTTGAGCGGTGTGGTGGGCAGCCGGGAGAAAGGAGAAGGAATCGGCACCCCGGTACTTAGGGAGCTACGGGAAGGAGAGACGCCCAGGGGCTGCCTCAAAAGCAAAGGACGGGATGTCTTTGGGGTGCTTTCGTGTGTCTGATTATTTCTTTGCTTTAAGGAAAATTATGGAGGGAGATCCCGGCGCTGCTGCACGGAGCAGCGATGGGTACTTCTGGCGCCTGTACCGGGCGCCTCAGTGGTGGCTGCGGCTCCCGTCGTTGCCCTGTCCCCGATCATGGGATCGTCCCAGCGATTTCGGACGCTCCTCAAAAGGAAGGTGCGGTAAAGAAGCGAATGAGCGTGCTCGCTGACCAGGCACCGGTGAGGCGCCTCTCTGCCCCTGGCCTGCTCCTCACAGGGCCTGGCCATTCCCAGTCAGCCAGCCCGGGAGAGCCCAGCAGATGTGGGTTTCCGACCACCCAGGGTCGCCATCTCTTCCCCGTTTCCATACGGTTTTCCCCGACTGATTCGGAGAAATTAGCTTAATTTGCAATTTAGCTTAATTCACACAAGCCCGGGGGGAGGAGGGGGGAGCACAGCTCTATTGTTCTGTTATCCCAGCTCCCACCCTACTTCTGGCCCGGAGGAGAGAAGTGACCTGGCGATAAGCGGCCCGGCGGCGACTGAGCGCCGGGGCAGGGCAGCGGGTGGCCCCGGCGGCGCTGAGCGGGCGCCCGGCCCGCCGCCCCCCGCCGCGGGCTCCGGCCCCGCTCCCCGGGCACCCACCGGGGGGCAAGGGCAGCCCCTTCCTCCCGTTCGGCCCCGCCGAGAGCTGCGGGGCTGGACAGGCAACGACCGCAGGGCACAACCGAACGATACAGCCCCACACACCGACTCCCGAAAAAATAAAATAAAATTTAAAAAGCGGGTTGAGGAAGAGAGAACCAGCCTCGGCACAGTCTCCAACAAAACTTCTTTATTATAGCAAGCCAGGAGAGTCCTGTTTGGCAGCAGAATTCAGATAAATCGCCGCCTAACATGCAACTATTTTGGCAGGGAAATAAAGTGACATAAGACTAGTGGGTTTTTTTTCTTTTCGTTTTTTCCTTGGGTTTTGTTTTTTTTTTTCACCATGTGATTTGTGCACAAAAAAAAAAAATCAAATCAAATCAATAAGTGTAAGATCGGCAAAATGATGGTGCTTTTTAGCCGGCTTTGAGCATGGTATTGGGAAAGGTACTTTGAGCTTTAGCGTTTTTCAATGCGTAGATCAAACAGAAAAGGCTACAGCCCATAATCGGAAATCCTGAGTATTTAAAAGCTGAGGGAGGACAAGAGAGTTGCATTTGCTCTAAAACTGGTTTTATAAAACCCATAAATAACTGGTAAGAGGAAAAGATATAGATATATATATATATATATATAAAAGAGATCTTTCTGGGTGCTTTATCTAGAGATCCTCTTTCTCCAAAGTTAATTAAGCAATCATGATGCTAGCTTTGGAGACTGGTGTTCTGATCGATATCTCCTGTATATTTTATTACTTTTTCTCTGTCTCACGTTTTCCGTTTCCTTCATCATTGTAGATGCTATCAGAGTTGCCGTAGTGTCTTGTAGCAGAGACTGTCCCAGTTGCAGTCTAACCTGCAATGTATCAGAAAGCTCATACACAAACGGGGAGAGTGTATAGAAACACGCCCGTTTGCAAGCCGATATAACTTTCTGGCCTTGACAATGTCCACTTTTTCTTTCTATCAAGAATATATCGCAGCAAAACAAAGCTGGAGAACCGCTGTAGAAACTGGGTGGATTTCCAGGCTGCGCCCTGCAGACATCTCATGCGGAGTGGCAGGGACACGCTGCCTGACCGCTCCAGGGCTCTGCCTGCACGGTCTGTCCACGGCCTTCCTTATATTTAAAAGTCCATACTGCAGGCACATTCTTTCCTTGGGATAACACAATATATACACGTGTGCTTGAGCATATATAGATACTGATATTCATCAGCTGGCTACAAGCTTGTGTGTGTACGTATAAGATATATGTGTATATACATCAATTCTACATCTGGACTAGTTTTTCACTTTCGTACTCAGTTTACACCCAGACCCTCACGCATATGTGTATATGCTTATGAAAACCTACGCCTGCATGTCTGTGCTCCGTGCACGTCTCCTCTCTAGGTCCGACTCAACACTCCCCGTCCTGCCGAACGGCGGGGCAAGCACTCTTCTTCGCCTTTAGTATTACCCCGAAGAAACCAGCTCCCGGGTACAGCAGCAGGCTGCTCCTTGGCGGGCGGCCTCACCCTCGGAGACCGTCCCCTCCCTGCAGGGCATTCCCCACCGAGAGCCGGCAGACCCCCTCGCAAAGCCCCCAGGTCCCAACAAGCCGCCGGTACCGCCGGCAGCCCTCTCCACCCTCTCCACCGCCCGACCTCAGCCTGCCTCCTCTCCCCGGCACTGAGCTGATTTTCGCCCTCTTCCCACCACCCAGCGCTTCCCCCGAGGTACTCCCACCGCCTCTGCAGAGGGGCCGGAGAGCGCATTAAGCTGCTGCAGAAATTGGACCGCAGTTCTTGTTGCCTTCTTTCGCAGACTCCTCCATCTCTATCTTTCTCTTTCTTTAATTTATGACCTCTCAGCTCCTGTTGACACAGTTTTCCACACTGCCTATACTGTGGAACTGCGTTGCAATATACGCCGAATCAGCCTAGGCGTCAGCCCGCACAAATAAGGGTGGGTATTTGGTATTTCGCAGCTATTTAGTAACGCTCGGCTACACTTGAGGATGACAACAAATGCACCTCGCCTCCGAGTTATCCATGAGTTATAGCCTGAGATCAATTTTTCTTTTATAATATCTTCAATCTTACTAAAGCAAAGCATCTAAATAGCTACAGGATATTCCCTCCTTGGCCTGGCTGTTAAGCAAACATTTAACAACTCCCTTTCGATAACTAAACCTGCTTTCCGCAGATGCTGGTCTTTTTTTTTTTTTTTTATAGCAGAAGCAGGAATGCTGAGAAATATTTATACATTTGTTAGTAAAAGCTAGAAAATTAGCTCGGAACATGCTGTAAAAGATATTCGGTTACTTACCGATTATACCAGTTCAAGAAGCATGAAACGGATTTCAGGAGCGTGAGCCACTCGGGTGAACGCTGGTGGAGGTGCACAGACACAGGCAGTAAGCTGGAAAACAACCAGTTAGAGTCGAGGTTATTGTTAATGTCTCAAAACAATTCTTTCAAAACCATCCCCGTCCAAGCCCCGAGCGCTCTTCTCCCTCGGTCAGCCAGCGGGCTCGCAGCCGGAGCCAGCCCATGCTAGCCCGGGTCGCAAGCCGGGTGACAGGCAAAGCAGAGCAGCTTCGCCTCCCTCCTCACGGAAACTAGTGATCTCGTGGTGTGTATTAACCAGCAATACCAGTACAAGCCGGAGCAATGCTGGGGCATGCCTGGAGCAATCGGGCATCGATGAAGTGCCCTCCGAAGTCCGTTTTATTTGTTCCTCCACGGGACTGGCACAAAGTACTTTGCCAAAGCAACCTCAGAGCCTATCAAGCTCTCACATAGACTTTCGCCAAGAAACTTCTTGGATCCATACTGTACCTGGTTTGAGATTATCCGATATTTAAGTTTTAATGGGTTTGTAGGGGGGTTTTTGTTGTTTGGGTTTTTTTCAATTTTTTAAAATGCAGATTTTACTGTAAGGCATCTGCTAAACACTTGCATTAACCTCTGCCTCCATGATAATTTTTCCCCCCTTGTTTTAATTACATTAGGGATGCGGAGGGGCAGCCAATCCTAAAAGAGGAGCTCGGCAATTAGCAGAGCGAACATCAAAAAGTTTTATTGCGGAGGGCGGCGGGCTCCGCCCCTGCCCCGGCCATTGGCGGCCGCCGCTTCTGACGACATATATTAACCCGAGCGGCCCTAAACATGTAGCTGTACATGGAGATCGGGCCGGGGAGCCCTGCCAGTGCCCCGCACCGAGCCCCGCCGCCGCCGCCGCCCGCCGCCGCCGCCGCGCCCGGCCGAGCGGCGCGGATGCCGCAGAGGAGCGCCGGGGCGCTGAGCAGCGCGGCGCGGCGGGCAGAGATGCGAGCGCCCGCCCAGCACTGACGGCCCCGCCGCCGCGCAGGGCAGAGCCAGCGCCGCCCGCCCGCCCGCCCCGAGCCGGGGGCGCATGGAGGGGGGCCGCGTGTAAGTACCACCCGGCCGGGCCGCGGAGGACTTGGCGAGAGCGGAGGGAAGCAAGAGGCGAGGAAGATCCCAGGCTGGGAAGCCAAGCCATTTTGTTTTGGTCGACATCTCTCCGTAGTTTTTTTGTTTTTTTTTTTTTTCCTGTGCGCGCTTCCTCGAAGACCCGGCCCCGGGCGAGGAGGAGGAGGAGGAGGAGGTGGAGGCACAACGCATGAGCAGCGGCGGCGGCGCCCGGGGAGGGGGGATCGCTCGGGCATCCGAAGGGACTTTGCAGCAGCGCCCTATGGAGAGGCAGCGGGCAGCGGGACAGTGCTGAGGGGTGAGCGGCGGGCAGCATCTCCCGCCGCTGCGACGGGGGTGGGGGGCGGGCGGGGAGGGGAAACCTTTGTTTTGGGGCCCGGGGGGCGGGGTGGGGTGCTCTAGGGAGCGGGGATGAGTCTAGTGGGCGGCTTCCCCCACCACCCGGTGGTGCACCATGAGGGCTACCCTTTCGCTGCCGCCGCCGCTGCCGCCGCCGCCGCCGCCACCCGCTGTGGCCACGAGGAGAACCCCTACTTCCACGGCTGGCTCATCAGCAGCCACCCGGAGATGTCCCCCCCCGACTACAGCATGGCTCTGTCCTACAGCCCTGAGTACGCCAACGGGGCGCCGGGCATGGACCACTCCCATTACGGGGGGGTGCCGCCCGGGAACGGCCCGCCCGGGCTCGGGGGGCCCCGGCCGGTGAAACGCAGGGGCACGGCGAACCGCAAGGAGCGGCGCAGGACTCAGAGCATCAACAGCGCCTTCGCGGAGCTGAGGGAGTGCATCCCCAACGTGCCCGCCGACACCAAGCTCTCCAAGATCAAAACCCTCCGTCTGGCCACCAGCTACATCGCCTACCTCATGGACCTGCTGGCGAAGGACGACCAGAACGGGGAGGCGGAGGCTTTCAAGGCAGAGATCAAGAAGACAGACGTGAAGGAAGAGAAGAGGAAGAAAGAGCTGGTCAGTGTTTCCGAACGGGACGGGACGGGACGGGGCGGGACGGGACGGGACGGGGCGGGAGAGCCGCGGAGGGGAGGCTTGTTTGGTCTCCCGCCGGCGCCCCATCCGAGGGCACCAGGCTCCTCGCTGGGCAGAGTCACCGGGGCATGTCCGTGAGGGACACCTGGCTCTCACCGGTCTCTGGCCGTAGCTGCGGGCCAAAAGTGGGACCGTGCACAGCAGCGAGCGGCCGTCGGTGTCCGAGTCCGACCCGGCGGCTGAGAGCAGCCGCGGGGAAAAGGCTGCCACATTAGGGCACCCCGGCGAGGTTATTCCCGGGCTGCTGCTTGTCCCGTATCCCAAACCGTGATCCCGCGGGAGGCAAGCCTCTGCTCTCTTAAATGAAAATCTGGAGGCATGATTACCTGCTAAACCCAGCCCAACTTTAAGCCCTCACAAGTACGACTTTCGCAGAGAGAGGCTTTCCTTCCTCTGCGCTTGGCGCTTGCAACTTTTTTGATTTTTAACGAGAGAGTCGGTTTAGGCGAGGCAGCGCAAGCCCAATTTCGTGTAGGCCCCATGGCGTGCTCGCGTGTGATTGATTCCCACATATGTTAGTGGCCGAGGTCCGATGTTTTGCCCCGGTACGTGCCGGTGCCCGGCTTCTCCCCGCAATCAGGGAGAATATGGTTTAGGGGGAGCCTTATCGTAATCCCTGTGGATAGCTGGCGCCTCTCAGCCTCCAGCCCCGCGCTCCGCAGCGGGGTGGCACGGAGCGGGAATCGGCCTCCGCCGGCGCCCACAGGCGGTCGCGCACGACGCGAGGCCGCTCCCACGGACGGCGGCTTCGCCCGCGGAGAAATCCAGTGGTGGTCCCCATTATGTCTCTCGAAGTCCGCAGGCCTCGATGAGCTCGGGTCTCCTCTTAGTTTTCGATCTCGAAGCAGAGCAGATGCGACCCAGAAAGGGGAGGAATATATCTAACCTTTTTTTCTCTCCTCTCCCCCTTCTGTTTCTCTCTCTCCCCTCGCATCCTGTCTCCCCAGAACGAAATCTTGAAAAGCACAGTTAGCAGCAACGATAAGAAAACCAAAGGGAGGACTGGCTGGCCGCAGCATGTCTGGGCTTTGGAGCTCAAGCAGTGAGCACGGCAGGACTGGAGGAGCCGTCCTCTTAGTCTCGGTAGTGAGCTCTCCTCTGAGGACTCTTTGTATTTGGAATCATCCAGTTTATTTATGTGCAATTTCTCCCCCAACCCCCCAAAAATGTGGATATTTGAAGGAGAGGGAAAAAGCATTCCATATATGAAGAGGAAACTCCAGCTTGGTAAGGGGTAATGTCTCTAAATGTTTTGTGAATGTTATTTGCTCTGTATAAAACACGTGGGAAAAACAGAACCATAGAAAAGGAAAAAAAATCCCTCCCTGGCATTAGTGTGTATGTGAAGTGTATCTTTAATACTTGGCCTTTTGGATATAAATATTCATGGGATTATAAAGCTATATTTCAACAGAAGCAGTTGCACCAATGTTTCGATTGACTCGGTATTTAGTGTTGTAATTTTGTTGTGGTCGTTCGGTATTTGAAGATGTTTTCAACAGTTATTGGTTATGTGCACTTCCGTCCGTAAGGGATAAAGTGGAATCTAATTAATATTGAAGGTGTAAACGTTGTAAGTACTCAATAAACCACTGTGTGTGTTTTTTACAAAACAAAAGAAAAAAAGAAAAAGGAAAAAAAGAAAATCCAAATCTTTTTATGTTTTATACCTCAAAATGTTTTGAATAACAGCGTTGTTTATGGCTTTTTTTTCATAATATTTAAAATATTCGGAAGTAAACTAAATTATAAAGATGGCTCCTAATTTTATTTTTAAACAACTGACTGAATGAAAGGAGGGGTAGAAGGAGGGATCTCTCAGCCCAGTGAGTGTTAAACAGAAACCGGCAATTCATCTGAATAGGAATTCCCTGTGGTGGTGTTCTCCATGCAGGAGACCTACTGCGAACGGGAAATGGACAAGGGTGCAAACCCCGGGCGGGTCGGGAATAGCAGAGATGCGCGGTTTTCGTGCCGCTGGAGCCCGGGCGGCGGCGGTGCCAGGCGCGGGCCCGGAGCGGGGGCGGCTTCCCGGAGAGGGGCCGGAGGCAGGCGAGGGAAGCTGGTGAGCTTTTCTCGGAGTGATTATGTAGCAGGTAATTTTACGTCAAGGAAGAAAGAGCGAACAAGGCAAGGGATTTGCGGGTGTCTGGCGGGGGGGGATGGGGGGGTGGGAGGGTGTGCTGTAGGGAATATGTAAGATTTACAATGAGCTACGGTGAACTTAATATTAACTTTGTGGTTCCTAAAACTCTCCTGGGTTGCACGTTTCCAGCACGCCACAGCGAGTATAATTATTTTTAACCTTTTTTATCCAGCTGCAAACTGTAGCAGCCCACTCTCTGGATTTCTTTAGTACGTTCCCCAACACAAACTCTCTTCCCTTAAATATTTCGCCCCGTCTATCGACTTCTTTACAAGGGTCCTGGTGCCAGTCTGGTGACTTTTCTGCTCCCCAGTACCAGGGCGAGCTGCAGAGTTCAATGTTGGGAAATGCGTGGCGTCCTTCTGAATCGTAGGCACGCAAGAAAAAAATGAAAGGTTTTCATTAAAGGAAGCTGGGCTAGGCATTTTTTGTCCATTCTTGATTAAGGGTGAGGTTTTCCACCTTTAAAATGATAAAATTAGGGTTCGTATTTTAAACTTTTACGTATATCACCTCAACTTAAACCAAGCTGGCTCTCTCTTCAGGTCCAGGGCTGCGTACCTGCCGGCCTTCCCGTGCCACCGCGCCTAAGGAAGTGGCTCCCAACGAGACCCAGCAGTAAGCGTAGGTAGATGTGCAATTGCCCATAAAAAGATAAGGGAGCCCCTGCGCCGTTTCGCCGCCCCTGCTGACAGTGGGGAGGTTGCGGGGTTACAACAACCAGACAAAAGTGATGTGCCCTCCCTCCCGCCGGGTCAGGCAGCCCGGCTCTGCTCTCCGGCGTGGGTCTGTGTTTACAGACACTTGCCTCTGTTTATAACACTTGGAGAGAAGAATCTGCCCCCTTGTTTGCTTTTCCTTGCCTATTAGTTGCCCAGCTGATGAACTGGAGCTTCTCACACTCTGCATCCCCTGCTCAAACAATTTTGTTGGTGGGTTTTTTTGTTTTTGTTTTGTTTGTTTGATTGTTTGTTTGTTTTGGGTTTTTTTCGTAGAGGCACAGGAAAAAATAAAAGAGATGAGGGGCGACTGCGAATGCTGCCGTGGGGCACATCACGGGCAGCCTCTCAGCACATACTGTGTCTCCCCTTGACCGAGTAACCGAGTTGCAGCTCCCCCGGGGGATGCGCAGTAGGGCCGGCGGGCGGCTCCGAGATCCAATCTCCGAATCGCCTGTCCAATATTTCTCCATGAATAATTTTCCGACTTTGTAACGTCAGTTTATTAGAAGCGGGAGCTCCTCTGAAACCGCTAAGGAAGATCTCTTTTAATTGCTCACTAACGAGGATGTTGCTATTTTCTTAGGAGCAGCCATTCCCGCAGCTAAATCACAGGAGCCCTAGACAGACCGGAGCCGACAAAAATGTAGGTTTTGACGTTAAAAGCTAAATGGGGAAGCAGAAGGTAAATTGATGGTCGATGGGGATGTCAGTGCCCTGGCCTCAGCTCTCCGCCGGCGGAGCCAAGGCCTGATAACAGCGGAGCGCTGCGCTCCGCATCCTGCCCGCACCCGGGGGCATCGGCATCCCGTCGATCTCTCCGGTAATTCCTCGGGGCCCAAAATATTTTTGGGAGCTTTTGCCGAGGTTAAAGGCACGTAAGAGATAGCAGCCTTTCCCACTCTGCAACTTTTCTCTGTGGATGCAGGGAGGAAGAGAGAAGGGAGGGCAGGCTGGAGAGCAGCCGTGTGGCTGAAGCCCTGTCCCCTCAGATTGACTCACGGATCCGTGTTTTAGGCTTGCAGCCTCGTTTCGAGGGCTAAGGGAACGACAAGCTCTGCTCTCTCCCAAGAGAACACAGCATTTTAATTTTTTTTTTTTCTCCCCTTGGAAAGGAAGAGCGACAAAGCTCCCCTGGGTGACGTCCCGCCTCCCTATCCTCCCAGAGAGCGGCCCGTCGGTTCCCCGGGGTGCGGGCCCGGCTGCACGCCCGAAACAGCGCGGTCGCCCCCTCGCAGGGAGGCGAGGACCTCCCCAGCGGCTGCTTGTCCCCTGGGGGACCCGAAGCAGACAGCAGCGTGGATTTTTAGAGCTCCTCCGGATTTTGGAAAGCAGGGACACAGCGAGGGGCCGGCTCTCTGCTTCGCTGCTGGCAGAGAGCCTATCAGCCGCTGGCAGAACTGAGTTTCGGGGGACTCCGCAACATGCGGGACCTCGTTGCTATCGGATGTGCCTGCACTCTGGCAAGCAAAAGAGAAAAAAATGTGGCAGGGCTTTTTTTCCTTCGTCTTGCTTTGTGTTGTGGTCTGGAGATTTTTTTTTCACACACACTCCCCCTCTCCCCCATGGTTCCCAGGAGCTCTTCTTTGCCTCAAAAGATTATTGCAATAATTATTTCTCGTTTGATATCGTTGTCAAAGAGGTGCAACGGGGCCTCTTGGCTAAGCCAAAGACACCCCCAGAACAAGCGCCGGCCCATAAGCGGGGTATAAACAGAACTAGGGGATGCCGTGGAGACAGCATGAACTTGAAAAGTGGGCAAGGAGGTGGGGAGAGAAGGTTAATAATAAAACCTCTAAGCAAAATATCCTCCTTTTGCGCTTGGAAACCCAACCTTAATCCTCCTTTTTCACACGTACTCGCCCAGCGTCTCACAAATACCCCCAGAAGAAATCTCCAAGTAGCGATGGGAAGGAAATGCATTCCGCACGCCTACAGACATAATCCCCTCTGCTGTAACGAGAGGCTTATCAATGTTTTATATATTTTTAATTTGGGACTTTTTTTCTGTGGACCAAGAAATATGAGCCTTTGCAAATCAGTTCCGATATTTTCTATTTCTAATTGAGCAATTACTATTCAGCTGTTTCAGCTTGTCACATACAATGGAGAGTAAAGCAGAGTTGTTATCTGAATTATATATTCACATAAATTCTAGTGAAGCCGGGCGATGCGCGAAGCCAGCGGATTTCTGAGGTTCCCTATGCCTCCCTCTTCCCTTTCCAAACCAGTGTGGTGTGCGTCTCCCTCTTCCTCAATTTTCCCTCCCCCCAACCCCATTTTCCTCTAGAAATACCATTGCTTTGATGATGCGATTTTAGAGCATTGATTACAAATTTATTCTCAGACACTATATAAGTCTTTATATCTGCTATTAGAGACATCTGGGAATGATTAGAGCTGTCCCTCCCCCGGCTCTGCTCCCTCTATCTTCCAGCGAGGAGCTAGAGACATGTTGACGTCAGATCAGACGGCTCGGAGCCATCCTGCTCTCCACTTGGGTGTAATCACGGCGACGCTTTCCAAGCGCCGGCCCGGCCGCGGCCGCCAGCTGGGATGCGGGCGCAGTGGGACACGGAACTCCAGTCCCGGGGCTCCTCGGTACAGGCCGGTTTTGAACCCCGAAAGCTCCGGCTCTTCTGAGCTCGCCGCCGAGGTTGTTTGTTTATTTTGACTGTTTGGGACTTCGAGAAAGCAAAAGAAGTGCATTCCGCGGGTGGGGTTACTCCTCCACCCATCCCGCTCCCCCCTAGACCCCGGCCCAGCGTTTGCATTTCCTCATATACCTGTCTTCCAAAATAAATATCGAGCCAGGCAGAATTCCACCTTATGTCTTGGCAGGGAGAAATTAGCCAAAGTGGAACGCTTACGTGCGGGCAGTCGCAGGCGTGCCGACTCCCCGTTATCCAAAGTGATAGTCAGGTGAACGAGCCGGGAGAGTTGGAGGCTGCTGTAAAACAAGACGGTTTCCTACCCAAACGGCAGTGCTGCTGGCAAGGAGATGGCTTTGCACCTGCTATTAAATCCTAATGAATCTCCTCTGATTGAGAGCGAGGGCTGGCTGATGGTAACGCTGGACAGCCAGCATGGAAGCGTTGGCTCAGCGGCACCCAAGATCACGTTTGATACGCTTATTTTGAAAAACCTTTTGCTTTACAATTTTTTTAATGTTTTGTATTACTCTGTTTTTTTCCTCCAAGGAGATAAAAAAATAATAATTGAATAAATACAACTTAAGCCTCCACTGGCTGTTCGCAGTCTTGGACGGCTGACACTTGTCCAGCTGTACATTACAATCTGTGCTACTACCAGGAAGGAGAGGCGGGGGGGTGGATGAGAAAGCAGTTGATCTCGTCTCCAGAGGAAAAAGATAACGTTAAACAATTTATCTGAAGGATTAAATTCTCGCGGTAAAGTGTGCTTGCCAGGAGGAGGGAGAAAAGAAAAACAAAGCCCCATGTGACCCTAAAAATAAATTTAAAAATACTTCAATTTCTTTGTTCCAGCAGAATAAAATAAAATAAACCCCCAAAGATACCGCAACCCTCCTCTGTGTCTATCTGTAATCTCGAAAGGAAAAGGAACATTTCCTTTCTGAATCAGTGCAAACGGTATGTTGTGAGCTCGGCTTCCCACCACAGCCACCGACCCAGGGGGTCCGGCGGGAATAAGTGAATTTTTAAAAAATTGTTAAAGAAAAGGGGGGAAAACAACGCTGCGAAATAAGCCATAACCAAAAAAAATCCCAGCAAAATCCAATT